AAAATAAAAAAATAATACGCTTCTCAAACAAAGATTAAAAAACTTTATTGTGTTAGGTTGTGATGAAGAATAAATTCTTGATGGTTGCATATAATCACGTGGCGGACACGAAAAACCAACCTTCAACGAAAATAATCACTCCTGAGAGCGCCACAAATATCCATCATACACAAGTCAATCTAATGAATAGTTATTCCAAGTAAAAAAGGGTACTCTTCTTTTCCTTTCTCTCCACCACAAATAAGGTACCCCTTTCCCTGCGTTAGGAGAAGAAGAATGGTGGAGTAGAAGAGTGGCAGAGAAGTTACCTGGGAAGAAAGGGAGACGAGGCAAATTGAGAAGAGGATCAGCGAGGCGAGGAGAGGCTGACCTTCGGCAAGGCAAGGCAAGCCAAGGGGAGGCGAGGCGAGCACCTAGGACACGATCAGGCCAAAGCGAGTGCGGGCGAGCAGAAGAGAGGCCAGACGAGAATAGGTAGACTCGGAATAGGTTGGTACAAAATTTGGTTTTAAAAGCACAGACAAACGCATCCCAAGAAAGCTTATGGAACCAGGTATAATCATTATGAATTCTTAGTTATGCTTTCTTCTTCAACAAAATGCCCATGCAATTTTGATGGATTTGACGAATCGAATAGTCAAGCGTTATATGGAATAGCTTGTTATCATTTTTATTGATGAAATATTGATAAACTCAAAAATTAATTATGATCAGACTTGGAGTTGCTGAGGCAGAATCAATTATTTATAAAAATTTTTGAAGCAGTCGAAAAAGTAGTAAGACATGAATGATAGCAACAAATATCAGAAACTCATTGAGCAAATTCAATCAAAAAAAGTAGTAAGATATGAATGTAGACGAAGCTTGTGTTATCATAAACAAACAATAATTTTGGGTCCAAACTAGTCCTGATTTGAGATGAGATATCTTACATGAAGCTTGTCATTCATGATATAATATTCATCCAGGAGGCGCATTATTTGAAATTGATACAATGATGGTCATATATGAAGAAAGGTGTTGTTGAATGTGTCAAAATGTAAGACTCGTTAAACTGTAAAAGCTGAACATTAGAGGCCCAGTGGATTGCTACGATCATTACTTACACCTGAGTGTAAATGGAAATTGTGATTGATTTTGGTATGGAATTTCTTAGATACATGCAAGTTCATGATAGCATTTATGTGATTATTGACATGTTAAAAAAAACTTCTTGCCAATTAAGTAAAAAGAATCATTTAAAAAATTGGCCAGATTATATGTCAAGGAAATCATTAGATTGAACGACATTCCAAAAATTAACATTTTCGACAGAGATGGAAGATTCACATCTAGGTTGCGGAAAAATATTCAGAGAGATTTGGGTACACATTTGTATTTTAGCATAACATTTCATCTACAAACTGATGGACAATCAAAAAGAACAATTCAGGTATCAAATCGATTGAGGTTTTATGTTCTTGACTTTGATTCAATTAGAAAGATCATATTTTGATGATTGAGTTTGCCTACAATAATAATAATCAATCTAATACTAAAGTGGCTCTCAATGAAGCACTATATGGTAGGAAGTGTAAAACTTCATTAAATTGGGTAAAGATAAGAGAACATCAAATATCAGCTAATGAATTAGTTTATGAGGCCATGGGGAAAATCAAGTTAATCAAAGACATATTAAAAGCTGCTCAGAATTGACAATAAAAATATTATGACATAAAGCATAGAGAGGTAGAGTTTGAGGCTAGTGCTTTTATGTTTTTAAAAGTCAGGTCGAACAAAGGTACAACGAGATTTGGACATGAAAGTAAATTGAGTTTAAGAAATATTATTTCTTTTGTAACTATAAAAATGATTATTCAAGTTGCTTAAAGACTAGTTTTACTTGTTGATATATCATATGTACATAATGTGTTCCACATATCCATATTGAAAAAATGGGTCTCAAATTCAAACCAGAGAATTTCACATGAAGACATAGAAGTGCAAAAAAAATTAACATGTACCGAAGAACCTGAGAGAATTTTAGAATTTGATGTTAAAAAGTTAATGAACAAGCAAATTATTTATGTCAAGATAAAATGGAAGAACATGTCTGAAAAAGAAATGCTTGAGAAATAGAACAAGAAATAAGACAAATTTTCCTATATATTTGGATAGATATTTAGAAATTTTGATGACGAAATATTTATAAGAAATGGAATATTTTAATACTCAATTTTAGCTAAATTAAATAAAAGTAGATAATTTTATAATATATCTAATTTTTGCAACCCACAAAATCTAAACAAATTAATTTTATAAAATTCTATATTTTGTAATTATCAAATTGATATGTAATAGTATATTAAAATTATTAACATATTTTATTTTATAGAATATAAAATTTCAATTTAATGTTAATTCAATTACCTTTAACTTAATTAAATCCTAGTTTCAGCACTTGAGCATTGTAGTATCTCCACTTACCATACATGCAATGGTGAGATTGAAATTTGGACGGCTGAGATAGAGCATTAACAATTCTACTTATTTGTATATTTGTGCACTTATTTATCAAAATCTCTTGATTTTCCATCTTCCGCTGACATCTCTCCTAAGATTCTGTCGCAGAGTAGGATGGATGGCAAAAAGGTTGTCAACCTTTAGGAAGAAACCGGTAAGAAAATTCTTATCTTTATGCAATTTCATGTTAGATTTTAGCAACTCTGTAAGTATTCGTGCGACTGTATTTATTGATTTATATCTTTAGGAAGAAACCGGTCAAATAGGTTCATTCCCCTTCGTAAAGAAATACATAACAATATCATGAGTATGTATCCTTATATGTTAGACTTTAGCAGCTCTGTATATTTTTTGGTAATATTATTATGCATGCTTTCAAGCAATTAAGAATGTAATTGAATGATGAATTAAACTAAATTGTGAATATTTGTGATAATTAAGTCAAAAGTTGTGATTGTATCCATCTCTGCCCAATTGGGGGTCATCTAGGGTGTGATAGAACTGATCTTATAAAACCAAAGAGAACTTTGATGTGACTAGATTATACTTTTCGGCACAATCCGAATGAACCTATTGACCCTATTGGATCAAAACCAGTAAATAGGCCAAATTGATTAAACATAAGGCCTCAAACCAATTTCAATTTCAATTTCAAATTTCCCCTTTTGCCACCAATGGAAATGATTAGAGAGGGCAAAGCGACGACACAGAAATGATGTGAGCATGTTTGAGTGGGCAAGGTGAGCTAATCAGCAACAAAAACAAGCAGATCAGAGCAACAAAAAAGCAGATGGAAGATGTGAGTGGGTAAAGTGGTGCGAGTGAGCCGAATAAAGCAACAAGAATGAGAGAAGACAGTCAAGCTTGCACAAGTACGGCGAGTGAGCGGCGAGTGAGCACGAGAGCATAAAGCAATGTGAGCTGGTGAAGCACAAACAGACAAAGCATAGCATGCGAGATAGTGTAGTAGCAAATGAATGAGACATTTAACAAGAAATCGAGCAACAAAAAGTTATGAAAGAGGAGCTCTTCGCAAGATTTTTATAGGATCTTCAGACATAAAAGATAAAGATAAATATTTATTTGACAAGCAAGGCCAAGATGAAGCCTGATAGAGTATACGAGAGACAAATGCTCACGGGATCTTCACCAATCCTCAGTGGATCTTCGAGACAATAGATTAAGTCAAAAATTTAGAGCAGTGCTAACTAACATAACTCATTGCACAAATTGTTGGATCTTCTACAAAGATTTCCATTCATTATATAAAAAAACTGAAGCACAAGGCAATGATTGATTAATTTTATCAATTAGATCCACATAATCCCGATAAGAAGCTAAAACCTATATTTCTAAGAGCAAAATATTTGCAACTACAATAATCAATAATACAGATTAATCTTGAATCAGGGATCGACTTTAAGCCCATATCATTTTGCTTTAGTTATGGATGGTCTTACTGGACATATACAGGAGGATGTACCTTCGTGTATGCTTTTTGCTGATGATATCCTTCTCGTGGATAAAACGAGAGAAAAACCCACCCAAGAAAAAACTTGAATTATGGAGGTCTACATTGGAGTCTAAAGGCCTTCATTTAAGTAGAACTAAAACTGAATATATGGAATATAATTTTAGTAGTAATAGCTCTAGTGACAGAAGTGTGACTTTGAGTGATCAAATTATTAAAAGGTGTGAATGATTTAGATATCTTGGGCCCGTTGTTCAAAGCAATGGTGATATAGATGGGGATGTTAATAGTAGAATTCAAGTTGGTTGGTTGAAGTGGAGGAATGCTTCGGGCCTTTTGTGTGATAGAAAAGTACCGCTTAGACTGAAAGAAAAATTTTATAAGACGGTGGTGAGACCTGCAATGCTATATGGAGCTGAATGTTAGCCTTTAAAAGAGAAGCATAATAATAAGTTAAGTATTGCCGAGATGAGAATGATTAGGCGGATGAGTGGCTTTACACTTATAGACAAAATGCAAAATGAATTTATACGTGATAGGGTTGGTGTAGCTCCTGTGACAGACAAAATTAGAGAAAGTCGTCTTAGATGGTTTGGTCATATTAAACGTCGACCATTAGATGATCCGATTAGGAGAGTAGATGTTTTAAATCCGACTTGTGTTAAGAAAGGCAGAGGTAGACCTAGGAAGACTTGGGCTTATTGTATTAAAAATGATCTTAATTTACTAGAACTAAATGAAAATATGACACTAAATAGGACGCAATGGAGAAAAAAGATTCATGTAATTAGGACATATTAGTGAGATTAAGGCTTTGTTGTTGTTGTTGTAGAATTTATCCAATTTATTTATTTTTTTCTGTTAAGATTAGGACATATTATTAAGATATGTCATTGATAAAAACATGCAGAGACGTGCATCGATATAAAAGTGCCATAACAATTTATGTGGGAATAGAAAAACAATCCTCACAAGAGTTAAAAAAGATATCAATATAACAAAAGATTCATAACCAACACCGAGTTACCTCTTGCAGCAATTTAGTGCTCTCGTCAGAAAGCAAAAATGCTGGGAAATTATAATGATTCCACATAATACGAGAACCCTGTAGAACCAAATATATTATGGCTCTATCTAGAGAAAATATATCACAATGATCACATGGAACAATGATCCACATTTTTTCATTAAATAACTTACACGAGGGTTCCATTCAAAACTGACATTCAGGTATGGTGCAAATGCAGCCTGTGGGAACTTTTCATCTGGGGAAGACCCTACACATGAAAGAGATGCTGAGAACCAAGTTATACATTGAAATAAACAAAAAATAATACTTATGATTCCAAAACGGACCTAATGACCTATGTTCGATCCCAGTGGACTCAACCAAGACACCAGCAATCCTTTCGGCAAGTTTTGGATCACTTGAAACTCTGAACAAGTACACATTTGCTTATTACTGAATGAAACTATACATTTTACTCGAAAATTTATAAAAAATAACATAAATCCAATTTGAAGATCCAGGTTCAGAAAAATAAAATCAAATCCAGTACATTAAAAAGATTTCAAACCTGCAGATCAACATAATAAGTACTAAGCAGTTATACTCTGCACAACTAGGAATCAATATTTTATAGGAAATCCCATGCATGCTCTGGCCACAGAAGGTCACTAGATACATTTAAGCAGCCATCATTTTGGTTTTTTTACAAAGAAGGAAAAGTATGGGGAGTAGAAGAAAAAAATTTAAATGGCGTTCAAAAGCATTTTATATAAATCTTATATCCAGAAAGATAAAATAGAGGCTGCTTGTGCCAAGTATATGAGAGCTAAAAAGTGAAAGGGTTGATAAAAGGAATCAACGGAAACCTGGAGAAATCTTAATTAGTGTGACTAGCTTGATTACATGAAGCGCCACATGGATCTCCAAAATATCAAGGCAAAATATATATCTTGTAGATCTCCAATAAATATTGTTGTGTTTCATTATTTAGGTGGATTAGGATGAGGATGGGGGAAGAGGTGGGGGTAATTGTGGGTGTGGGTTAGAATTTAAGGTTAGACCTGAAGCTATGTTCATGACAGCCAAGGAATATTTGTTATGTTATAAATCAAATTGCCAAGATGGATGCAGCAGGCAAGCCATAAGAGGATCAACAAAATATTCTACACTATTTTAGTTGATACATATGTCTTACATTGTTCATCATACATATACATTTCCTTCCGGTATTTTCTTTTCCGTTTCCATTGTCTATTGTTTGGAAGATTACTCCAAGCTACGCACTATAGTACATAATTACAAAAAGTTTACACCAGAAAATCCTTGTATTTGAAATAAGTATTCAAATACAGGTAATCCGTGTATTTGATTATTTTCTTTGGCCTTTTCCATTAAGATGCTAAGGCTTGCAGGAATAAGTTCCACGCCACACACATGAAGCCTTATAACACGCTGAAATCTAGAGACGTGTTTATTTGTGTTATGCAGGACCCAATTATTTACCACAGACTTGTGGCATCACCCATAACTGCATAAGACTAGAAAATTGACAGCACACAAATTAACAAGGCACTTTCTTATTATCAGCCAAGAATCTCAAAATTAGACCAGGGCAACAAATGAAAAATTTTGATGGCTTGTTTCATCCACCTTTCATAATAATTCACACAATCAAAACTCTTGGCAACGAAGGGTGGAGGCAAAAAATTTTCTTAGTATGGGCAAAAATTAATGGTTCTAAAATGGTCAACATAGAAATAATTAATAGCATTGTTTTAAAAATCGGACCGAACTGGCAGGTTCAACCGTTTCAACCGGTACAGTCGTGAACCGATCATTCAACCAATTCAATCCAAGCAAAAAACCGTTTCTACATAAAACCAGGGTTGAACCAGTCAGAACAGAGTTGAACCGGTCCGGTTATTAAAAAAAACCATCGGTTCAAATATTATTCAATTTTAGCGCTCTGATTTGATAGGATGGCCAAAAATAAAATAATTAAATTAAAAAATAGAAAATATCATGTCTTAAATTTTTCATTTATAATATTGTTCAAAATATTCATAAGTATTGTCTTAAATTATCATATTATTTATTGAAGCGATAAATATGATATTAATACGCAATTATTATATTATTTAAATTATATTAAAATAATTTAAAATTTTATAACATGTTCCGGTTCAACCTTCAGTCCAATCCCGGTTGAACCATTAAACCTTTGCTTCTTCCGATTAGATGTCCGGTCTGATTTTCACAATCTTAATTAACAGACAACTATGTGGTTTGAACTTGTGACAAAATTCCTCCTATTATTGATGGAATGAGATTGTTTGACTGATTCGATATCCAATTGGTTCTAAAAAGAATTGAAATGTCACAAAAAACATTCACTCGACACTGCTATGTTTTCGGTTCGTAACGTTTTTCTTTCAATTTGATTTGCGACTCACATAGAAGTATACACTGCTAATGTCTCCAACCAATTGAAGATGTTATGCATTGAAGCACAAAAACCTTATTTGGAAACCGCAAACACCCTTTCAATTTAAGGTGCTCAAAATCACAAACATAAGATCTTAAGGCAGCAGTCACTAAAGCGACAAACTATTAAGCAATAGTTAAGACCTAAATTTTAATTACTTCAAAGGAATTGAGCCAAATCAGCGGGGCTGCAGGGCCCGATTACCCCAACTATAAATCAGTCCATGATGGAAATGTTGTCCTATATAGGTATATGTAGTTGGGTGAAGGAAGCTGAATAAAGAGTTGTAAAATCACTATTGAGACTGTCGTTCTTAGTTATATGAGGGTTGTTGTTTAGTTAAAACAGTTGTGACACAGACATGTGTAGGTTAACTTATCTAATTCAAGATTATTGGAAAAATCACAAGCAACTAAATGAGTACAAGGGAGCAAAGTGGGCTTAAGGGGGAAGCAGAGGGCAGGGAGATGTCGGCTGATGGTATGGTGCAGGTATGAGGCGGGAGGATGCCAGTAGGACAGCAGAAGAGCCCTAGAAGCAACTTGGTATGGAGCAGGCAGTAAGGTATGCGACCAGTAGAAAGGAGGGAAAGGGGTGATAGACTAGAGGATAAGAGCAATGGGATAAAGGGTTGTGGGGATGCACGGAATGAGAGATACACACCACCATAGGATGAGTTTCAATCAGAGAGCCTCATCTCTATCAATTACAACCCTCAAAAGAAATTTGGAGACGCTAATCTCTCTCGACAGGAAACAAAAACATAATATAACCATAGAACAAACAAAACAACATATAAACACTATCAGGCAACTAAAGAGTGGCCCACTCCCCCCCTCAACAACAACCCTCCTTGAATCGGTCCCAAGTTTGTCGCATGATCCCAGGCATCGGTCCAGCACTTCCACGCCAGCATCAGTCAAGCCCCCAAGTGTTGGTCCATCATTTCCACGCCCGCAGAAGTCTCCTGGAGTTGGGAAGCTTCGACCTTATCCGTCGAAGCATCTATTTCCTGGTGATATAGAGTCAAAAACTTTTTCTTGGCCTCGTTAAAATTTTCAATGAAGAAAGTTAAGGCATGTCCTCCTTGGCTCAACACTGCTCTAATCCCCAACTTGGATGTGTCGCACTCCACCTCGAGCAACTGACTAAAATCTGGTAAAGTTAACCCTAAGTCTTGCGTCACCTTCTCCTTCAGAGTGTCAAAACTGGACTAGGTTGCGTCAATCCACCAGAATCTCTCTTTTCAACAGCTCCATGAACATAATTGTGATAGTGTTGAAGCTTCAAATAAACCACCTGTAAAAAGACACTAACAACATAAATTGTCTTAGTTCGATAAATGAATGTGAGAGTGTCCAACTCATGATGTCTTTGATCTTTGTAGAATCCATCAGAATATCGCCCTAGATACAATGTAACCCAAAAAGCACAACCTAGATGTCAAGAAGTGGCACTTCTTCAGTTGGGCATATAGTTGTTGTGCTTATAGAACCTCGAAGACCAATCCCAAATGTTGCAAGCGTTCCTCCGTCAAAAGGCTGTAGATGAGGATGTCGTCATAGTAAATAAGTATGAAATTCTCACCATAAACCTGGAAAACCCGATTCATCAGCCTCATGAACATGCTAGAAGCATTCGAAAGCCCAAAAGGCATGAATGTCCACTTGTAGAGCCCATCTCTAGCCTTGAAGGTCGTCTTACACTAATCTCTGAGCCTCATCCAGATCTGGTGATAGACGCTGCGGAGGTCAAACTTGGAAAAGATAACAGTTCCATGCACTAGGTCCAATAGAACGTCCAGACAAGGCATGAGAAATTTGTACTTGATGGTAATTTTGTTGATAACTCGACTTACAATGCACATCCTCTACAACCCATCCCTCTTAGGCAATATCATTGTGGGAATAATACATGGACGTGTGATCTCTCTCACCAATTCCCTCGCAAAGGGATCCTGCACCTCTTGTTGCAACTCCTCATACTCCACAAGTTTTAGTCTGTAGGAAGGTCTGTTCGGTAACACCGATCCAGGGATAAGGTCAATAGTGTGTTGAACATCCCTCAGCAGAGGCAAAACCTCAAAAAGGTTGCCAATTATCACGTCTCGAAATTTAGCTAGAAGTGGCAAGATCATCCTTCAATCTCCACGTTCAGCGACAAGGTCTGCACATCCTTCAATCTCCAATAGTTTTGCAGTTGAACTACCTTACTAATGTTGGGCTTCAGGCCTCCCAAGTACTTGGCTATGGAGAGCTCCATTGTCTCTTTCAGTTCACATTTCAACTGAAACTGCATGAATACGATCGCATACTCCCCGACTGATAGTCCTTCTGCTGCAGGTAGTGGAATGTCATAAAAATATCCTGGTGATAGTGTAAGAGTAGGTACTATTGTTGCAACGCCTTCTTCATCTTCTACCAAGAAGTGATTTTATCTCGTCCTTCTCTTCGTCTCTCCCTCTTTGGGTTCTCCGACCATAAAGAGGCATTCTTCATCAATTTGATGTTTGTGAACTTCATTCTATTATCATCGAACATGCCTTATATTCAAAGATCCACTCAACAGTCTGCATCTACTTGAGAAAATCATCTGGAGTGATCCTGTTGTAAAAGTCTAGCAGGTCCACCTTAATTCCCAGATCTTTGTGCCCTCCAACAGGTACTTTCACTCTTGGCCTTCTCCAAGATTGAATTTTGAAATGGTTGGGTCAATCCACCTCTTCATTGAAGTCATCCCTACAAAATGGGTTCAAATATTCTTCTTGCTCTCCTCCAAGAATCTCACTATTATGGACGGTGGTGACCTCATCCATGGTCCTTTCCTCAATAGCCTTGAGCCGTTGTAGCACTTGGCAAAGTATACACTGTAAGCACCCATGGCGAAGTCCTAGAGGTGAATAGATGGAAGTGTCTAGGGTGAGGAGGAATATTTTTGGGGGGTAGAGATAGGCGTGGGCATGGCAGCGCTAGAAACCCTAAGATAGAGTAGAGTTAAAGAAGCTCTGATACCAAATAATATCGGAGTTAACCTAAACAACAACAAACAAATAATATCATTAATAGGAAAAGCCACTATGCAGTACAACGCACCGAAAGGGAAATAAAAACAAGGACACGACAATCCCAACTAGAGCAATAACTTACAAAGGTGACTGGTGGAGGTGGTTGTAGGCTAAGGATATGAAGGGACAAAGTATAAGGGAGCAGCAAGGCAAATAGCTAGTTTGTAATGGGTTGAAGGGGAAAGCAGGTGGCTGCAGATGGAGGACGACAGGGAGGAGTGTTGTGGTGAGGTGGTAGCTAGACAAGGCCGGGAGATGTTGGTTGATGGTAATGTGCAAGTATGGGGTGAAAGGTTGTCGGCAGGATAGCAGAGGAGTCCTGGAAGCATGTTGGTTTGCAGCAAGCAGTAAGGTATGCGACCAACAAAAGAGAGGGAAAGGGGCGACATGCTGGAGGAGGAGGCGAGCAATGGGATGAAGGTTTGTGGGGATGCAAGGAATGGGAGATACACAAAATCTTATGATGAGTTACAGTCGGATCACTTTCTCACCCTCGGTTACAACACAGAGGGAAAATTCGGATACGCCAAGCTCTCTCAATAGAAAACAAAAACTAGTGGTAAACCTAGTACACACAAAGCAGCATATAAATTCTATTAGACAACTAAGGAATGGCCCACTCCTTAGGGGCAGCACTTTTTGAATCAAGGGGGGGACAATCGACCCCCCACCCCCCCTCCTTAAGCATATCCCAAGTTCGCCGCAAGTGTCGATCCAGCGCTTCCACGCCCGCGTCCGTCAAGCGCCCGGGTGTCGATTTAGCTCTTCCACGCCCGTGTCAACATGAGAGTACAAATTGTTGAACCGTAAGCACAAAAATGAAGTTGCAAATCATTTTCCAATATAAATAATCAAAAATACATATCTTTCAATTGTCATAGGGAGAAGATCTCTCGTGCCATAATTTAAGCTTAAGAAATTCAAAATGCCAAAGTTTGCCTTAAAGCCAAGGGGTTAGATCACTTAATCATAAGGCTTCTTCAAGAAAATCCCATATGCCAATCATTTATCATACCAATCAAATAAAATTTTGTAAAATAGTACGCAGAAGATCAAAAACAACTGGCAATTAATGATGCTCTACATGGAATTAAAAAAAATCATGCCTTAGAAGAAGACTTTCAAACTCTTCTAAAGGGACTAGTACTGCAAATGAATTAACCACCGGTTTCTCAATCATCTCCAATTTGAAAATTGGTGCAACAATCTTTTTCCAACCTGGATCTGTAAATGTCAATAAAAAAAATATCAATAGATAAGAAACATAGTAAAAAATGAGGAAAAGATTAATTTGAACTGTCATTTGTGGCAATCATATCTACAAGTGCTTGGAGTTTGAAACAAGTTAAAATTAACGTAAAGAAATGAGGAGTTAGAAAGGCTCGCTTGCTCCTTTAATAGAATTTGGCAAAGTACCATCTGGTGGTAGATTCTTCCTCTTTTCCCAAAGACACCCCTAATCAATGGCCATGGCTTATTTAGATTTGAGTGATCATGATTTCCTATAGATGAAAGCTCCATGATTAATTACATTTCTACTTATTGGTGAAAAACACTATTGATCAAGGACATTGCATATGTTCGAGGTTAACGATCGTCAACAAGAAGATAAATAGTTAACTAATCAAGATCTCATAATTATGTCATGCGAAGTTTATATTAAGGTTCTGATCTTCTAAAGTCAAAGGTTATAATGTCATGACAAAGGAGACTTGATTAATGGCTACGAGTTGCCTCATTCTAAGCATCCTGAGCAAATCAAAATGAAGTACATGCACAAGACACATTAGTGTTCTAAAGCTCGACACAATTAATTGTCCTCAAGGGCTAATTACATATTCTGTGAGGTGATCAAACCCTATTGTAAAGGACTTTGTGTTCTTTGCATGGAATGTCTTGTAAAGGGTCCCCGAGTCAAGTTAGAGTGTTATGCTAAAGCATGACTCACTTCAAGGCAACACTCCGACACTTCTAGCATTTGATTTATTTGAGAGGCTTTAAACCTACGCAAATAAATTGAGTTATCTGCTTGATGACATGGGATCCAGTCTGATGGGCTTGATGGAATAGAAGTTTGACCTATTGATTTGATGAACTTGATGGCATGGAAACTAACCCTGTGGGCTTGATGGAATGGGAGCATTCCTGTTTGATTTAATAGACTTGAGAGCACTAAGGTTGCCCAATTCTCTGAGGTTGCCCAATTCTCTGAGGTTGCCCATAGAATTGATGGCATAAGAGCATGCTCGATTTATTCAATGGGCTTGATGGCATAAGAGTCTTCCCGATAAACTTAATGGCATGGACGTTTGTCAATGGATTCGATAGGCTTAATGGCATAGAAGTTTGTTGATTTATTTGATGGACTTGATGGCAAGGGAGCCTTTGGCATCAAAACCAAACAATAGGATTTGATTGACTTGATGGCACAAGAGCATATTCAGTGAGCTTGATGGCATAAGAGCTTACTCGGTGGACCTGTAGTATAGAAGCATTCCCAATTATTTTAATGGGTTTGATGCCATGGGAGCCTATTTGATTGCTTTGATGGATAACATGAAAGCATTCCTGGTGGGTTTGATATTATAGAAGTCAGCCTGATAAATTTGATGGGCTTGATGGTACAAGAGTCGAGTAACCAAACCAATTGATTTGATGGGCATAGGAACAAGGGAGCTTAGTTGATCAATTTGGTGGACTTGAGGCATGAGAGCCTAATTGATGGGCTTTATTAGATAAAACTCTACACGATTGATTTGAGCTATAGAATTCCAATTGATTTGAAGTAGTTGGATTTGCACTATTCTCATCTAAAGCATTGAAATGAGTTCAAAATATTGAACCAGCATAGTATTAGATCTCACGTCCTTGGGAAAGCCAAATTGATTTATTTAATGTGATTTATATCCTCGGAGAAGGCCTAATAGATTTAATTAATAAGGCATTTCATCCTTAGTGGAGGTCTAAAAAATTTAATCACTCAATTATTTACAAGTTTAAAGGCATTGTGCAAATGCATCACCAATAACTCAATCAAGTTATCAACAAATCATTGATACTTTGGATGCATTATATCAATCAGAGCACTACTTCTAGAGACAAATACTATCAGAAATTAAATTGTAATTAAATGTCCTCTGATATTAAGGGTCTCTATCCTCATTTGGCATTATTGATTGAGCTAGTTTAATTTACTAGATGCTTAGAAAAGGGCTTGAGGCAAACGAATAATTTAGAAGAATTTATCTTAGGATCAATTCGGCAAGAATCTTACTCCTTGAATTTGATTTATTTTTAAAATATTTTAAGAATAATTGAAGGTCTCAAATGACTTTTGGCTGTTTTGGAAGACTTATTTTATTTAACCAATCAAATTACCACATGCCTTAAGATGGTTAAGAAAATCACCCTAGACAATTTCATTCTTTTTTTAATTATCAATTATATTTTATAAATATTCCAAATTCTCGGAACCCTTACTCCAATCATAAAAGAGGATGTCCTCCTGTTTTACAATTTTTGGTGCAATTAAAATATTTTATGAATATTCTAAGTAAAGAGCATTTTAATAATATTTAGGATTTGAAATAAAGTTTCACAAAAGTTTAGCAACCTTCCTAAAGTTTTTGGAGTTGAGTTGCAACTATGGAAACTTTACCGTCCAAATTATAAAAGGGTAACACTATTTCACTCTTTGACCATTATGTATCATGTTTTAGTTTGTTGAAGGAACACATCTCTCCAAAATGCCAGCCAGCCAACCATGACAAGAGAATTGTATGTACACCCACTCTTTATTGATTGCAATTATGGATCATTTCTGAGATAGCTATCATATCATGGATTTTATCCATGAACAATGGTCTATTTGATCAATTTTAAGACTTTTAAACTCATTTTTCCATGTAGACTTCAGGGAGAGGTGTGAGTGGGTTCATACTAGAGCCAAGATTCTTTTGTTCCAACAATAAAAACAATGTGAGGTACCTAGGCATTTTTTGTATTCATTTTTGTAAGAATTTTTTCATATTAAGTTTGTTTTTGTGTATGGAGGCCTCAAATTTCCTTATAGAGCTCCAATGGTAATGTGAACTATGTCAATCTACAGCTGCAACCTCTAAAAGAGTGTTTAAAAATGATTTAAGAAACCAAATTCACTGTAGGGACCTCACAGCCACTTCCAAAAGGTCACAAATTAGTAATATTGTAACACTTAGCTCTAACAGAACATCGAGCATTCAACGAGCTTATGATCAACCCTTAGAGGCCAGAAGTCTTAGGGGAGAGTAGATCGCCACCACATCCAAAAAGTTGTCGATGAGTGATACAACTAAGATCAAGTCTATTAAATCTCAGAAAATCCAAAAACTATAAGCCAATGAATTGAGGCAAGAGAAACAAGTAAAGGGCATCCAAAATATCTAAAAGGACATGAATAAGTAAGTCCAACGATGTGTGTTGTATCGAATCATTCAATAGACAACAAGCAACCGAACAATATTAGTCAGGTAGAGAAGGAAGATAAAAGGAGAAGGGGATGAGCTTGAGTGTTCTCCCTCCTACTTTGCTTTGCATCATGACAAAATTAGGATAGCACTTATGCAGTGTCAGGTTCTTTTTTCCTCCATGATTCATCCCATCCCTTCTTATTTATAAAAGAAAAAGGGCTGGCCCTTTATTCATGGGATATCCACATGAAGGGTTAAGACTATTGGTCGAAGTGTTTTCGAGGAATCCAATGAAATGGAGACAACAACACATGTCAGCGTCTATTTTTTGCTAAAATTAGTTCAATTGTATATATGATTAACAAAACATATGTACAATCGTTCATATACATGATTAATGAAGATTTAGGTTGATTTAAGCCTAACTCGAACATTTTAATTTTAGTTAATTTTTCTTGATCTAACTTGATACATCTTGCACCTTTTTGGTTTGATTTAAACATGTTGGTTGGAAATTAAATCGTGATAATTTGTTGGATGATTTTTATCATTTTAGTTGAAAAAATTAATCATGATACATATCATCCCTTATGTAACTGTTGTCACTTCCAGGTGCATGGGGAAATGACCTCTCTATAAAGGTTGTGAGCAGCTCAAGCACGTTGTTATCACAACCACTACTACTTCAAAATTTTTGAGTCAATAAGGCATGCATCAAGCGAAGAGCAAATTAATCAAAATTATATGAACCTAACGTAAATTTTATGTTTCGTATAGATTAGCAAACTTCCAACTTTTAAACTTACAAGCACCAAAAACTTCATGAAACCTAAACTTTGTATCTTAGCCAAAAAGAACAATCCCATTTGGTTCTTGCAATTAAAATCATGGTCCTTACGAAAGTAATTTTGCACCAAAGAAGTTTACTATACGATACCTCACACCATACCAAAAGATGGATGAATTTCAAAACTAGAACCTCAAATTACTACTAAAAGTGGATCTACATATAAAGGCGCCAAAAGCTATATGAATTTACCACAAATATAAAAATATCTCAAAAAAAAAAGTCAACATAATATTATTGCAAGTAGAAAAAAACATGTTTGCATACTTGAACAGCCAATTTCAGCAGAAAGATTCAAAAGTCGAACACAAGGATATCCTTCAACATTAAGGTACATTGCCTTTGCAAGGTCAGGTACTGATTCCAATGCATTAGCCTCTCCTGAAATTCTCCAACATAAAGAAACTTTAGTCTACCTGGCCTACTATTTATTTCAGACAACAAAAAAGAGGGGAACGAAGGCATAAAACTTCATTGTAGCACACGTGGCAAACAAACCCCAATGCATTCAATAAACCAAAAGTAAGGTACAGAATTTCTTAAAAGAAATTCAATTGGTAAGCTACAGTCAGTCCAGAATGTAGATGCTTCATTTAGTCTAACACATTAATCCCTCAACAGAGAAAAGCACATAAAAAATGAATTCTTACAACAAGTTAAAGGTAATTCTTATCTTATAGAGGATAATAAACCAAAAATGTTCAAAAAATGATTGAAACATCCGAGCAATAGAAAATTCTCACATCAGATTAAATAAATCAAAGTTGATCAAGCACTAAAGCATCTAAACAACAATATCCATTTTCACCAAAATAGCTACCATAAATTTCAGTAAAATCAGCTCAAGGTATATTATCCTAAGTTATGAACAAGTTATGATCACCAACATTTAGATGTCATGTTAGATTCAAGCAAATGAAAATATGACACAAAATAGGACGCAACGGAGAAAAAGGATTCATGTAGCTGACCCCACTTAGTGGGATAAAGTTTTTGTTGTTGTTGTTGTTGTTAGATTCAAGCAAACAAACAAAAACTAAAGTTTTATCTCTCAAGTTCAAAGTATGATATAATTATCCATATATGCTACATAGATTTTAAGCTGCAAGAATAATCTAGTAGATTAAGAAGCACACTAAGGAAAGCTGCTCATAAGAACTCAAATAAGCCTAAAAATTGAGTTTACATATAAATTTTAAAAAAAAGACTAAGAAAATAAAAAATTACAAGAAAAGATAATCAACCTCAAGCATGTGCCTCGAATTAAAATTGTGAACTAATACTCATATATAATTAAAAGGAAAACTCTACTACAAAAAAGTAAACATCTATAGGCAAAAGAAAAATGAAGAGGCAAGTTAAAACAAAAACAAGAACGTAATGAAGAAAGGAACACAGGATTAACACAGAACAATTTCATATTTTATCCCCTCAGACCTACAGTATTCTGCCAAAGAAACTGCCAAAATAACTAGTGTCCTTTGAGTTACTAGCAGTAGCACATATCGCCTATGCTTGAACACAATAAAAGTATGGAAACAAGAGGATTCCACACCTCCCCCATCTCTGCCCCCCGCGTAGAGGAATAAAAATGAAATCTTTTAGAGGATGAATTTACTTATGAACTCAAATGCACAACACTTGTTCTACATACCTTTCACTAGCCAAAATCATAGCTCAATCAGGCTTGAAATCTAATTTAGAGACAAGACAAAATCCAACTACATCAAAACTAAGCAACTTGGCAATAGCATCCATGATACCTTCCTTAGACTTTTAGTAAGTGCAAAACATCTACAAATGCCAATAAACTCCATCATATTTTCACCACTTTCAAAATCGAGCAATTGAGCATAATGGATGCACGAACCTATTCGAAAGTTGAAAATTGGTAACACTATGTTTTGGGTTTAGATGAACAAGAAATATTAGTCTATATGTGACAGTTTTAATGTCAAATTATCACTTCATTATTTTGTATAAACTTTTTTTAGATGTTGGGTGGAATTAATTAAAAAATACACATGCATATGCAAGGCCTCCAAGCTATGACCATTTGGTTGGACGACTAAGCTCGCAAACAATAGGCTTAGGTGGGTTGCATATTTTGTATGAGCTACTGCTAACCTTATGTGCACATTTGTATGCAATATCCTTATTCAAGTGTAGGGTATCATAACATTTTTGTTTGAGTTTATGTGTCCAAACTAACAACCATATATAGGTTTCATTGTATATATAATGTGCTCCATATCTACCGAGCCTAGGATTACCTTATTCAATACCAACAAAGAACTTTACTTTTCACTAGCAAACACTGATAACAGCAACCAAAACAAAGATTTTATCCGAGAAATGACATGTTCCATATGTCCCTTTCTCAAAGAATTCTCTAAGACGTTGCCTTTCTGTTTTTAAAGCATCTCTTCTTCAAATAGTACCTCTCTATAGACTGCCATCGCAATCTAAGATAAGAATCCCAGCTTTTGTACACTGACACTATTCTTCAGAAACAAGAGCCCTTTTGAAGAATTAGTTTCACACAAAACCATCTCAGCCTTCTTAAAGAAGAAACAACAAAGCACAGTCAATGAAAACATCGCACCCATCTGCTAAAAGCCAGATTCCCATCAAATAGAATCTAAAAATAGATAAGCAGAAAGAACGGTAGCCTACCCAATGAGAGAAAAGAAAAATGGGTAATCAAGAAAAAGCGTCCATCATATTGACATTAGTTATCTTCGTTCGTTCAAAAAATAAGATCTCGTGGAAAAATATGCCAATTATTATGAAATTCTAATGCAATAATAAACTAGAATCAGCCAAAACGTCGGACACAGAAGCAAAGCAACAGGTCATTGAGAGTTGCAAGAGAGGAGAGACGCACCGGCCACAAGGCAGAAGGAATCAACAAGGAGTAGGACGCATACAACAAACAGGACGAACCCTCGGTCCAATGGGGGAAACATATCCTGCAGCAGAATCGTGCTCGGTTTTGATCTGAGATCGTCGATAACACTTCCGCAACCCCGACAGAATTTTTCCGCGAAGGTCCACCGCACAAGAAGCTTCAGAAGCCGTCCCAGCCGGGAAAAGTCCACATTTCTGTGGTAGTGGCATGATGCATTTCTTTTTCTCTCTCTTTTTTTTTTTTTTTTTAGGAGATAAATCTGAAGGTGTTTGAATTAAACAACTTATTTGTGATTTTATTATTATTATTATTTTCAATCTTATTTTCTAACAGATTTTTTAATTCAGATTTTACGTATTTTTATTTTTTTATTTTAAGAGATTGAATAAATTATTTTTAAAAATACTCAAAATATATAAATATTATTTTGACAGTTTTTTTAATAATTAAATATTTTATAATATATCATATATATTTTATTTCAAGTAAAAATATTAATAAAGTAAAATAAAATAAATTTCATTAAGTTTATATTTATGACACCAAATAGATTTAGCAGCATAAAACTGTAAAATTAAAATATATATTTTTTCATCTCTTAAATGTCTTGCGTTATAAAATAATTCTTAATATTTATCATAAAATTGCATCTTTATATATGTATGTGTAGTATGAGTGTGTATATATGTGTGTGTGTGTGTACTTTTACTATTTAATTTTAATTTTTATTGAGATATTCCCTAAATGTCCATATCTGTTGAATTCACTTCTGCACTTTTAATTGTAATGGCTAATTTTAAAGGAAAAAGTGGTGTGAGCCAAAGGCGGCAACCCTAGTGAAGTTGGAAATGCTTATAGATAAATTCTTATGACTATAACGTAAAACACAATTCAAACTATAAAACTGAAGTACGAAATTTTAATCTAAAATAATTAAGTGTATGTTAAATAAAATGCAGATAAAAGGAACTAAGTAATTTAAATTAATTGTTAAACTTTCAAAAAACAAACTTATGAAATCTAAACAAAGTTTTTTTGTGACAAAGTATCAAAATTTAAGAAGACGTCCTTTCTCTTTATAATTAGTATATGGATTGTGAAGAAATTAAAATTATTTAAAAATATATATAAATTGTTTTGTGTCAAATAGGAGTAATCATATTATTTACCCTCTTTCAAGTGCATAAAGAACATTGAATAATCCAGAGTTTGGTCCCTAATTCCATAGTTATGCTAGGAGGATACCGGTTGCCACTCCAGAGCTCCCACTACTCCCTCACCTAAGGGCTAACAATCTCGCATTAGCTTCCAATAAACTGGACCAAATTGGGATTTTATTTTGTCAGCTTAAAATCTCTAATCATGCATTCAACAAAGTATATTTCCCTATTTATTTGTATTCAACCCCATGAATGACATCATCTCCCATAGATTCGAATGTGATTCTTACTATATTGTAGAAATCACAGCCCTTTCGGATCATATGTTTCTCATCACATATTAACATTTCAATTGGTCAGATCGAAAAGTAAATGAAGATCAGAGTTCGAATCATCATAAATTATTTATATTTAAAATCGTATAAAATAAAATCAATTTTTCACAAAACCAAATCTCATTGTAGGGAGAAAGATAATGAAGACTACTCAAAATTCATGAGAAGGAAACAACAAAACACGAATTTCATATATATAAACAAGTTTACAAAAATAAAGAAGTAAAAGACAACTTATCTCACAATCCTTCCTAAGCAAATCCCTAGAAGTTTTTTTCAAGCACTTTTCCTCTTTATAAAGACTCTTAATTCTCTCTTAAATGTGTAAAGAAGAAGAAATCTCTCACATTTCCTCTTCCCTTACAAGCTAGAAGAAAATCTTCAAGCCCTTGACTTTCTCTCTCTCTCATGTCTTAATTGCCTCTTTCGATCCCCCCTTCACGCCACACTCATGCCTTAGACTTCCCTCTCTTTTATTAGAGGTTGCCTCCCTCCAAAAAGAATTTAAAATTTCCTCCAAAATTCTATCCAAAAGTCAACCCTTTTGAATGTCAAAAGATATGTCTATTAATCCAAGGGGCATATCCGTTCATAAAATAACCTTCCAAAGTATCTAGATGCATTGAATCACTCCATGGGGTGTTTAGAACAAATGGACCCTTCGAAATTTGCATGAAATTGGTCTTGAACCGCCTTAATTCATAAAAAGTATTCTCTGGTGCTGGTTCTAGCGCTTCAGGCGCCAAGTTTCTTAAAACCGCACTGTTATGGGTTTTAGCGCTTTAGGTACTAGCTCTCTGTAAAGAGGTGCTTCACATACCAACTCTCTGTAAAGTGGCGCTTCAAATGCCAGTTCATGCTCTTCAGGCGCCAAATCACAAAATTCGTTGTTTTGACTCTAAATTTCGTCTTTTTTGCTACTTTTGATCCAAATGCTTAAAATTGATATATCTGTAACAAAAAACATGAAAATCCCTTCTTTAGAGTGTAATATCATAAAAAATAAGCATTAAATGTATACTTAAAACAACACATTATTTTGGTGTATCACATTATAGTTGATGTTGTCCAATATCCTTTGCAACAATTGTGACTATGAATCAAATGCAGAAGTCTGACCTTACGATGTTAAAGCACATGAGGAAGAAGCACGAGATGTAGAGACACTTGAACAGCTAGAAAATCCACCTCTCTAGCCAAAAATTGATTGATCTTAATAAGATTTCACATTAACACTTGTAATGGGCTGAGTTGCTGCAGTATCTCTTCCCAGCTATCAAATGTAAAGAAAGATCAAAGATGTGAATCCCAAACCTACAGTAGTAGCAGTGACAACAGAACTGATGATAGTCTCGTAAATCAGAGCTCTGATATCAATGGGCTTGAACTGTTGAATGCAATAGTTCAAGGTAGCTCTATCTTGGGTCACTTCACTGAGCTGGTTTGTGGGTAGCTAACAAGTAGAAATAAAGTAGTGTCACGCTTTTGATGTGGCATCTAACTTTTACGTGGGGAATTTGACTCTTCTTTCCTTAGTAATCTTCTACAATCCTCTTCCTCCAGTCAATAATGATATAATGTCGCCCAACTCCTCGTTCGGACTATAGTTTAAATAAAAACATAATGTAATAGGGGGCAACTAATAGAACAGATTTATTACCTCCGGTGAGAAAAGAACTTGTTTTTTTCGAACCTTGACTCCATCTTCCTCAACTTCAGCGAAATTTACGTAGAACTCCTGAACAACAAAAATAACAATCATAATAGAAAAATAGCAAAAATGCTTCCATTATCGGCAAACAATCAAATCTTCTACTGCTCCATCTGGACTCTTAAAACATCGCTTAGGGATCAATTTCCTCGATTGCAGTGCATCACTATATCGATGCTAAGCTCTCAAACTAACAAATTTGTTTGAATTGAAATGAGCTTTTCCTTTGCTCCTCTTAATTCTTGGGGTCATTTCTAAAAATCATAAAAAATTACAATAAACCCCAATTTTAACTCTAAATCATTAAACTCAACTCCTAAAAGCTTAAACTATCAATTCTATGTATTTTCCATAGAGTTTTCTCAAGTTTTTACAATGAATAGTGATTTTCAGTCAAAATCATAATGTGCTCAAAATACATGGTGAAAATAAAAAAATTTTACATAGAAGTGAAGCTCTTACCTCGAGAAGATCAAATCTAACCAATTTTACTTGAAACCACCAAGAAATCTTCACTTAAGATGATGCCCTAGCTACTAAACTCATGAAAACCGATTGTAAGAGATGAAGTTGGGGAAAAAATGGAGTTTTCAGCCCAAAATTTCACTTTAAATTGTTCGCAAACAAATTTATGTGAACCGGTGCTTAAGCATGAATGGTTTGGTTTTAAGTAAAACACACTTTTAGCCTAAGTCAACCACTCCTCAATGCTCTTTCAAATCTTTAATAACTATTTTCTTCCCTTTCAACTCTCCTCTTCCTTAAGATTCACCAATCAAAACTAATTTGATTCAACAGAAAATAACACAACATTTCACACAAACAAACACTTATATATTAATTCACAATCAAATAAAAATAGTTGTGATACTAATTCATAATTTCTCAATCCATAGAGTCTTGGATGAGATAGTTCCTAAACACAAACATCAAATACTAAACAATAGTCAATCATAACATTAAAAACACACAAAATAGGAACAATCTCGCTTTAGTTTGTCAATCAAAATCTTTATAAATTATGATGTGTCAAATAGGAACAATGTTATTCTTTATCCTCTTTAAGCGCGACAAAGAACATTGGCTAATCCAGAGTTTAGTCCCTAAATCTATGGTTTGGCTAGAAAGTTACTAGCTCTCACTCTAAAGTTCTTATGTTCTCCTCACATGAGGGCTAGCATCTCGCTTTAGTTTTCAAACATCTGGACCAAATTGAGGATTTTAGTCTATAACACTAAAATCTTCAATACTACGCTGAACAAAACATATTTTCCTATTTATTTGCACTTGAGCCCATGAAGTACATTCTAATTCATGAGATCAAATGTGATTCTTACTTTATTGAAGAAAGCATAGCCCTCTCGGATCATATGTTTCACAACAAATTTTAACAAATCAATTGGTCAGATTGATAAGTAAATGAAGATTGAAGTTTGAATCATCATAATTATAAAATTAAATGCTTTTAAATAATTTTGATTTTTCACATGACTATATCTCATTGTAGGGAGAAGGACAAAACAAACTACTCAGATTTCATGAGGTTTCATGAGGAAGATACAACAAAATGAGGAAGATACAACAAAACATGAATTTATATATAAAAACAAGTTTACACAATAAGAAAAAGTAAAGTATAACAAGTTATCTTAATCTCCCCCCAAGAAAATCCTTTGAAGTTCCTTTGAATCACTTTCTCTCCTTACAATATTACTTAATTCTCTCTTAAAAATGTAATAAAGAAGAAATCTCTCACTTTCTCTCTCCTCTTACAACTCTTAGAGAAAATCCTCTCTAATCCTCTCATGTCAATTAATTCCCACTAATACACACTAATGCACTCTAACTCTCTCCCATTTCTATCATAAAATCATTATTATTTAATGTAGGGTCAAATTCCCAAGAGTCTCCTTTCGTGCCCCTTCAAAATTCATCCAAATTCAATATATTTGGAAAATAACTGTCTCTGGCACCTAGGCGCCGAAATCTAGCTCCTAAGTGCCTCCTTCTC